GTTGGTGGCGCTGCACTTGCGGGGCACGTAGCTGTTGAGAGGGAGATCATGTTAGTTATCTGGGTTCTTTATTTTGGGGTTTGCGAGCGAATATGTTCCCCTCCAATACACTTTTGTGCCCTGGTTTTTCTGGTGGCTCGCCAACGATCGCAATCACGCGGCGCTGGGGATTTTTTTTCAACCCTCGCAATCTCCGATCACACCGGGTCCATCTCTTTGGCTTGGGATTGAGGCGGGATTGCTGATTGTATGCGGCCACGCAGACACAGGGCACTGGGTATATTGGGACTGGAGGAACGGGTGTAAATTCCATGGCACGTACAGATCGACGATCTCTCCCTTGTCGTTCTCCATTTTGGCGGGTTTGGTGTTGAGGTTTTGACGGGCGACGGTGAGGTTGGAGGTGGAGGGTTTTTCTGCCGCACATTAAATTGAAGACCTCAAATGATTTGTGTGGGTCATGTGACCCTTTATCGAGGGCTGGCGTGGCCGAAGTGGGGGTGGTGTGGCTTTAGTGGGAACCGTACTAAAGGCCGTGGCAATTCCAACTCTAAGATGTCCATAGTTATCGATTGCTGTATGCGCATGTAGGTAAGATTGATTGTACTATGGGTAAATGTATGTATTTTACAAATTACTCTTTTCCTTCTTTTCCCTCTCTTCCTGCAACACATCCTTCTTCCATCCCACAGCAACCTCTCGTGCACTTCCTTTCTTAAACCGCACCAGAACCACTCTCTCGGACTCTCCTCGCTTGGAAGTCCCTTTCAGCTCAGGCCCAGGATCATTTAGACCCAACACAGATCGCCCATCACCGGTCATGAGAATCATTTTTGGAGATATGCATTTCTCTGTCCACGGGGGAGAGCCCGAATGAACGAACTCGACAAGCGCTTGACGACGCTTCTCCATCTCTTCCACGGAAGCATCTGCACGAGGCTCCCTGTCCAGGAATCCTGACACTAAATGCAAAAGAAGGAACTGCGGCGGGAATAGAATGATTTCTGCCTTTTGGGCACGACTAACCCACGCTGAGGCTGGAAGAAACTGTGCCTCCGTAACCTCGATTCCACCATCGCTCGTTGGGATCTGATGCTCCTCGTGTTCACCCTCTGTTGGGAGTTGGTCGAGGAGCTTCTTGTCCACATTGACGGGCAAAGGCAAGAAATACAGATACATCTGAGTAGTGTATCGCTTGGGGACATTGGTTGGCGTGACCCAGCGAGTAAAGGGAATTAATTGGTCTGTAGAGTCAGCATGCTACTTTCAGGTGTCAATTACACAAATCAGGCACTTACCTATATCGGGCTCGGCATCAGGGCTTTGCTGCTTTAGCCACTCATCAAAAGTGGTCTTGTTCTGATGAATGAGTCGTCTACCCGCCTCTCGGGTAGGCTCGTCGATGGCAAGCATCTTCCCAGAGTTCCGGTCTTTAGCTAGAAGAATCCCACTCTCTTCAAATAGTTCCCTGATAGCTGCACGTCGGTAGCTAGGGGAATCTTCATGCCGTGACAGGTCTTCGGGTGGTGGACATTCACCATCTTGGCTGGACAGGTTGCCACCTGGAAAGACATGCGCAGATGCAAAAGAGGTAGAGGTTTTCACGCGATGAAGAAGAAGGATCTCGTTCTTTGGAGATATAAGAAGCACGCTATAGAATAGTTAGTTAATTCCTTTTCTTTTTTTGAACTGTTTCCCTTTGGATGACATCGCGCTGTGGATATCTCCAGTCATGTGGTCCCTTGCTGCTGGCTTACCTAGAGCTAGGCCGGGGCACCGCGGGCTCACTGTCACGTTTTGGGCTAGACATCTTCTGGGGATTTGAGGGAATTGTAGTTGTGTATTGTCTCGAAGCAGATTTACAGCCTGGGGTTTGAAAGGACTGGACCGAGGCAATATGAGATGCGCGAGATGTCCGAAAAACAAGGCCAGCAGCAAATCGATGACCCAATCGCTGTGCTAAGTGACGAGAAAGAGATCCTTGATAGACGAAGGACATCGTGAGATCTCGAAGCCGAGGAACGGCTTCCCAATATAGTAAAAAGCAAAGACCCGAGAGCCTAGGCAGTTCCTCGGTACCCCGCGTCCAGCTTAACCTCATCGAGCTTAGCCGAATGCAATGTGCTCGGGCAACCTCAAGGGCTTCTACAAGACCTCTTATGTGACGTTTTACAGTTGGAATATATTGCGGGAAAAAAAAATAAAACCTGTTTGCTCATTACCAGAAATGGCGTAATTCTTCAAATCGTAAACTCCTATCCTGTACCCTTATTTTAATTTTGAAGGCCCCATCATCCATCGGGGTGGCCCCGATGATGTATTCACAAAAAAGTCCGATCAACTCTTATAAAGCTTGGATCTTACGAGTAAAGCTTCTTGTCGTAGCTGTGGAGACCGTGGACGTTGCCCTCGGTCATAGCGCTGGCACTTCTCATCTCGAAACGCACGGTGCCGTTGTTGACACCGGCGTGCATATCGGTAAGGCTCTTGACACCGATATCCTGCAGGGAGTGCTGGACACCGGCAATGAGGTAAGGAATGAACTTGGTGACGGATCCGCGGTCAAGGACGGAGCCAGCGACACCCTGAGCAACGAGGACGCGGTCCTTCTCAGAGAAGTAGCGAGCAGTACCAGCGTTGCTGGCCTTGCTGTCCTTTCCGTCACCACCAGCCTTCTTATCCTCCATGGCGGCGATACTGCCCATGCCACGGTAGGCCTTGACGAGCTGACCCTCGTTGCTGACGTAGTACTCACCGGGAGACTCGGTGGTACCGGCAAGGAGACCACCCATCATGATAGTGCTGGCACCCATGGCCAGACCCTTAACGATGTGGCCAACGTTCTGGATACCACCATCGGCGATACAGGGAACACCGAAACGAGCGGCAAAGGATGCAACGCTGCGCACGGAAGCAGCCTGGGGACGACCAACAGCCATAACCTCCTGGGTAATACAGGCACTACCGCTGCCCATGCCAATTCTCAGGCCATCGACACCGGCGGCAATCAAAGCAGCAGCCTGTTCACGGGTGACAACGTTACCACCGATAACGTCGATCTCGGGCAGAGTCTTCTTGATGTACTTGATCATCTCGATCTGGTACATAGAGTTACCCTGGCTGGAGTCCAGAATAACAATGTCCAACCCAGCCTCAACAAGAAGCTGAAGGCGCTTCTTGTCCTCCTCGCGAGTACCAATAGCAGCAGCACAGATCAGCTGCTTGGAGTCGGGGAGCTTAGAGGCAAGGGGGTAGTGGAGGTTCTTCATCAGATCAGAGCGGGAAAGCAGGGATACGATGTTGCCGTTGGCATCGACGATAGGGAGCTTTCCCTTCTTGGACTGACGGAGAACCTCGTTGGCCTCGGCCAGGGTGGTGCCGGCCGGGGCAGTAACAAGATCCTTGGCCATAACGGCAGTCACGGGTTCGTTGAGATCAGTGTGGAACTGAATGTCACGCGAGGTAACCATTCCAATGAGCTTGGACTTGAGGGTTCCGTTCTCTATGTTCAAACATTAGCATTTGCTGTCGAAAGCTTATGTGAGGACAATATCCAAATAGACAAATTGCTCAGATAAAATCTGGTTCTCTACAGTGCAACTTTCGTTGCTGCAGTGGAACGAAAGTTATAATTAAAAGAGGATGGTCATCATGCAAAGTGGGTGGGGTAGGTGATAGGTGAAGTAGATGTGGGTATCTTACCAGTGACAGGGAAGCCACCGAAGCCCCATTTGGCCTTCAGCTCCTTGACCTCACCAACGGTGGCGTTGGGAGAGATGACAACGGGGTCCAGAATGAAACCATTCTCGTATCTCTTAACCTTGCGGACCATCTCTGCCTGATCCTCGGGAGAGCAGTTGTGGTGAATAACACCCAGACCACCGAGCAGAGCCATGTGAATAGCCATGTTGTGCTCGGTGACAGTGTCCATGGGCGAGGACAGAAGGGGAGCCTTCAGGGAGATACGCTTGGTAACAGGGGTATCCAATGAGACATCGGAAGCGGGGAAGCCTATACGGGTTAGAAAAAAGTATTAAAAAAAATCTGACTGCGGGGTTCGGCTTACCGATGTAACCGGGCAGGATCAGGAAATCATTGTAGGTCAATGCGCCGTGCTTGTCAGAGTCAAGCAGGGTATCCGCATCAAGACCATCGAGGGTGGTGTAGGTATCCAAAACCTCCATGGCCTTGGCGTAATCGGTGATTTCAGCCTTCATGGCTGCACCAGGTGCGGCATCACCGGCGGTGATAGGCATGATTAAAAGAAAGTGTTTAAATAAAGAACTGAGACACGACCCGAGGGAAATCTTAATCAACAGAAAGAAACGTTCTGCTGATGGAGAAAGTCGAGCTTTCCCAAGGAAGAGAAAGAAGAAGAAAAAGTTCGAGCGAAAAATTGGTTCCTTTTCTCTTCCGTGCACGGCCAAGCCAAGAGGGAGCTTGCCTACTTTGGGTATAGCGTACTGGCTTTTTTCACCGTTCGCACTGCTGATTGGCTCGTAAACGAGATCCCTCAAGGCGGTAAGCTTGTTTATGCTTATCATTATACATCGATGCAGGTACATCGGGACTACCATGTAGATGGTTCGAAGATCTACTTCAATGGAATAACGTAACATTGTTAGGTGTGATTCTGCAATGCACTTCTCTTGTGAAACATATTTTTCCAATGAGCTGGACATGAATATCGATTGCCATATAGCCCAGCTTTCGAAGTTGGTATATAGTGAAGGTCCAATGTCAGTTGGGTCATTTGGCTATAATTGTCAAGATGCCATCCTTGGTTCCTATACAAAGCCATCGAAAGAACCAAGATTTATGTTATATTGACATGGTTGGCCGTACAACGGATCAGTAATCTTGGCAGTTACCGGCTTCAAGTCCCGTACGCCTCTGTAGCATTATGACGACAGAATGATAGTAAAAAATGGAGCAAATACACTGTCTTAAAGGCGGCACAACTTTATCTCATTCTCCTAAACATCATCTCTGCTATTGATATGGAGTCTTCTAGGGGTGAACATGGCACCTTCAAGCCTGCACCGGCGGCACAGGCTCAGAACAAGCCGGGGTGAGTGACGGTTTACCCGTGCGAAATACTTCTACTAAAATGGTGTACTAGGTTGGAGAGCATAATGATAGAGCAAAGTGAGTCAACGAAACTGGAGGGCCTCCACGGCTTTTCTGAATATGCGGGTTCCGGAAAGCTGAAGGGCAAAAATGCTCTAATCACTGGCGGAGAGTATGTGTAGCAAGTACAAGAACAAACTTATTTGGGCTAATCATTTCTTAGTTCTGGGATTGGACGATCAGTTGCTATTCTGATGGCCAGAGAGGGTGCGGATGTTACTATCGTGTATTTGCCCTCAGAACAGATTGACGCAGAGACAACCAAAAAGTCCGTTGAGGAAGAGAAGAGGACTTGCCTTCTTATTCCAGGTGATTTGAGAGATCGCAACGTGTGCCGTCACGCAGTGGATAAACATGTGAAGAAGTCAGCCTAGGCTACTGTTCCTGGTTACGTATGTATTAGCAAATGACTGACCCGAGAGTCTACAGATACGGCACAGTCAATATACTTGTCAACAATGCGTCGAAACAGTACCTATGTACGGAATTTGAAAACACCGATCTGGATAAGACTGAAGACATCTTCAGAACCAATATAATCCAGATTATTGCGATGGCGAAGTTTGCTCTTCCTCACATGGCACGAGGTGATTCGTAGGTGATTTCTTGTCTGATCTATCCTCATGTACTGACGCACTTGCTGCAGGATCATCAATACTTCTTCTGTTGTGACTTTTCGTGGTTCGGGGACCATGATTGATTATGCTGCAACAAAAGGAGCTATCATTGGTTTTACTAGGTCTCTAGCAACACACTTGATTCCCAAGGGTATTCGGGTCAATGCAATCGCGTGAGGATCATATATTCCTTCCTCTTTGAAAGTACATTGACGCGTTTCAAATTTCAGTCCAGGTGCGATCTATACACCAATTCAAGTCGACACCCGAGATGCAAAACAGATGGAAGGATGGGGTCGCGAGACTGGTCTTGGCCGACCAGGTGAGCCTAGTGAGGTTGCGACAAGTTTCGTCTTCTTGGCTAGTGCGGATGCTTCTCTATACTGTGAGTGATTAATATCCCACACCTTCAAATCCTCATCTTTTTTTGTTGTGGCTAATGTATGATAACTATACATGTGTAGATGGGCAAGTGCTGCATTGTTACCCGCTTGGTGACTAAATAGTGTTACAGGGAGTGGTATCTACAAGTGGAGAATATCGCTGGAACATTTCGCTGAGCGTGTGCTTGCTATTGGTATCAAGTTAAAATTCAGTGACATATAAAATCAGTACAGGAGCCACGGCTTCCCTGCAATAAGAGCCTTATCCCATCCCTCATCATTCTGCCAGATGGCGACACTCTCAACCTCCTCTCTGCCCAATTTGAGTCCATTGTAGAGATGCTAGGCTTTATTTCAGCAAATGTTCATTTCAGACCGACATATTCAACTTACTGGGAAAAGTCCTTCGCCGGGTCGAGGACCAGACACTTTCCCGTCTGGGGACTCCCAGCGGATATCTTGAATCACGCGATGATACTCGATCCGCAATACATAGACAAGTGGTTCCTCCGCGAAAAATGCTTTCAATGTGCCTCCAACCTGATGCGCCATCGAGAGGTGGATGAAGCCATCGGCCTCATCCAGTTCGCTTACCGCGAGCCGCTCGGGAATTGGCTCGCGGACTGGTGCGGTGGAAGGCACAATCTTATAGATGTAGCGAGGTTGAGAAACCAGCGAAGCCATGATAAAAGTGATGGAAGGAAGCAAGTTAATTCACCGAGTCAATGGTGATAATGAGAAGAGAAACAAAGTTTGTCAGGTGGTTTCATTTGTTGGCGGGGTCGGTTCAACCGGCAACTTGCCTTTCAAACATGCAGGAATTATTGCGCCATTATTTGTACTTATCTATTTATCTACTTGTTCAACACCGAAAGAAATTTATAATATATTGGATTTGATTAGTGAGTAGTATGTAGTATTAACTGTAATGCTGGGTTGATATAAAGACACGATTCGAATATGAATTGCGGTAATATATCCCGGAACAGCCTTCAGTATCCAGGGCATCAAAATTGGTCAGAAACCCCCAACCATGTCTTAAATGCTTTCTTCAGCTTTCAGCTAGATATCTCAATTTATACCGACCTTATTTTGCTTAATATTTCATTGTTATAGCCTTGAAGATCAATGAATGTCTTGCAACAACACAGATCTTAACACAAGATAACAGATCAAGCACGCTATTTATGGGGGAAAAGCCCAAAAAAGATGTAAGTCCCTCTCAGAAGCAATCAAAGCCTTAGGACACCAGCGAGTACCCATGGATGGAGTATATACCTATGCGGATCAATTGGCGGTCTACAACGGACTTGGGGACTTGAAAGATATCTTGGTCGCACGGGACTACGAGCCCACTTAACCTGCCTAATTGCACAAGCCACTTTTGCCAAGACTGCAGATATCCTGATAAGTCAGATATTAGGATGGGAAGGAATGTTCAGCATATCGAGCAATTTACCATGAGGGACCTTCGCGATCTCGGATAATTGTCAATAAATACTTACCTAGGTAGTAAGTAACAGAACCCATGCCCAGTGTGTGACTTGTCGAGTAACACAATCTCCCAGTTCTCTACCTCACGTGATTCAAGATCGACAAGCCACAATCACCTGATTGCGCTATACCCGATTTGGAGATTTGTTGTGCCCCCTGCGCCCACTTTGGGGAATCTTGGTCGCACTTGCACCCCCACCGTCAACAATTCCATCGGGGATTCGCGAGGCTAGAGCTTATTGACACAAGTCGCGCATCTATTGATTGGATTTCTTTCGCAGCTACACTATGGGAGGTTGCCCTTGAATGCTATCCAACCCAGAACGTCTCTCCAGAAAAGGTCTTAGAGACCTTGCTTAACCCGCGCATTCCGCATCTACCACCAGAGCAGGGATGCGGTCAAAGGAGCGCGACATTGTTCAATCCATTTTTGCATACCGTCCCGAGATTAAATGATGTCGAATCAATTTCCATCCCTCAAGCGGGCCCAGACGGACCTTTCCTCGCAGTCTACCAGTCCATTACGACACGGGTCGACAGCATCCACGAACTCGTCTGCATATTCAGTCGCATCAAGCTCATTTACTCCTAGTCGGACTAGCACCGTCTCCTCTAATGGGTCGATATCAAACAATTTGGGTCACTTCCGAGGGAAGAGTGAGGCAAGCAGTATGAGCTCAGCAACGACTGTTACGGACGCAATGGAACGAGGAAGTTGGTCAAATGCTGGTACAGCGTACGACAATATCCGCCGATCTCTACGACCACTACAACAAGCTCCTAATACTTCATCCTCAACCGCGAATGTTGGTGGGTACCGACATTCACGAAGCCAAACAATCGATGAATCACGCCCGTGGAAGGACTATCGACCCGGCACCCCCGAATCGCGTCATCTCCATCTTAAAGAGAATCAGTCTCCACGTCAACAAGCACACACCTACGAATCCCAGAGCCCCCCACCGCCTACCTCTCCCCGCAACTGGTCTCCTGTACCCGGAACATCGCGTCCTTCGTCTCCCCAAAAGACAGTTTCTCACAGTTCTCATCCTCCTCAGCTGACTGCTGCACTCTCCGCACCCGAGCTTGAAACGCTACAAAAATCCTCCACGGGTCATCTCAGAACTCTCTCGAAGTTTGCACAGTCCGGCGAAAACGAATTTGGCACGGCCGCAGCCTCTGTGGTGGGGTTGCAAGGCCGTCGACGTCTTAAGCGAGCGGACTCGGTAGCAGGAAGAAATGGCGCAGTATCTCCCGAAAAGCCGAAGGCGTCCTCATGGGCAGCTGGGAATTGGATGGATCAACAGCGACAATTCATTCAAGCATACGAGTATTTGTGCCACATCGGAGAAGCCAAACAGTGGATTGAAGATGTCATTCAGAAGCAAATCCCGCCAATCGTTCAGCTGGAGGAAGGACTGCGAGACGGCGTCACTTTGGCGGAGGTGGTGCAAGCAATGTATGCGGGCAAAACCCTTCGCATTTTCCGACACCCCAAGTTACAATATCGCCATTCAGACAACATCGCCTTGTTTTTCCGATTCCTCGATGAGATTGAGTTGCCAGAGTTGTTTCGATTTGAACTCATCGACTTGTATGAAAAGAAAAACATTCCCAAGGTCATACACTGCATTCACGCGTTGTCATGGTTGCTCTTCAAAAATGGCATGCTGGACTTCCGAATGGGTAACTTGGTTGGTCAGCTTGAGTTTGAACACCACGAACTTGAGAAAACCCAAAAAGGACTGGACAAGGCCGGTGTGAGCATGCCTAGCTTTGCAGGTATGGCTGCAAACTTTGGCGCAGAGCCTGAACCCGAGCCTGAGCCCGAACCCGAGCCCGTTGAATCGGAGGAGGATCGTATTGATCGAGAAATGCACGAAAACGAAGCCTCAATCTGCGATTTCCAGGCTCAGGTCAGAGGAGCTATGATGCGTTTACAGCTTGGCAACACGATGAACGATCTGTGGGACTTTGAACCCCTCCTCATTGAGCTACAGTCACGTCTGCGTGGAGATTGGGCACGACAAATTAGTGAATACCGGCTAAGCATGCTCCAGTTTGCAGTTGGGCTGCAGGCTATTAGCCGAGGCTTCATTGTACGCCGCAGTCAGCAAGGCGACAAGCAATGGCGACAATCTCAGGAAACAGATGTTCTACAATTCCAGAGCCTGATCCGGGGATCTAGGGCTCGCGCCCAGGCTAGTCACCTACAAACTTGCGCACGACTAGAAGAGTCTGGCATCAAGCAGATCCAGGCCGCGATAAGAGGTGCATTGCAACGCATGAATGTTGGGGACCAATACGAACAGTCTCGATATGCTGAAAATGATGTGAAATCACTTCAAGCTTTCATTCGCGGTACCTTGCAACGAAAGAAGATGGATGCTCATTCTCAAGAGCTGAAAGAAGCTGGCAGTTCCGTCAAATCGCTTCAAGCAGCCATTCGAGGTACCTTGCAACGAAGAGAGATGAATGCTCAGTCTCAACAGGTGAAGCAGGTTGGCAGTTCCGTCAAGTCGCTTCAAGCTGCCATCCGTGGTACCTTGCAACGAAGACAGATGAATGCTCACTCCCACGAGGTGAAACTGATAGAAACACCCGTCAAGTCACTGCAGGCGGTCATTCGAGGATCGATCGCCCGTCAAAATTTGTCTCAGATGAAGGTTCTGCTCAATAACGAAGCGTCCCAAATTGTCTGCATTCAATCAACTGTCAGGGCTCTGATTGCCAGAGAACGCCAAACCCTGCTGCTCCAGGCATTAGAAGAAACCGAAAATGAGTGTGCTGCACTGCAAGCTATCGCGCGGGCCGCCGCCGTAAGAAAAAACACCTCAGCCATTCGCACCGAGCTTGCGGAACATCTATTGCCAGTGATCGACCTGCAGACTATTCTCAGGGGACAGGCTTTGAGAGAATCATTGGATGCGCAGAGAGCCGCATTGCTGGAGGAAGAACCTTCCGTCTTGGAACTACAGTCACGATCCCGTGGCGTCATTCACAGGCAGTATCTACTTGCACAGCGACATGAACTGGGCCAGCACGAACATACCATTGTTGATCTGCAGGCCCTTGCCCGTGCTGCTATCTCACGAATGGAGGTGGGCGACATATTGTCTCGCCTTGAGGAGAATGAGGAAGAAGTTGTTCAACTCCAATCTTTGACTCGGGCAATGCTTGCGCGAGTTGAAGTTGGCGAGATCTTGACTGATCTTGAGGCAGAGGAAGACTTCATCACGGACTTCCAAGCACGTATAAGAGGACTCATTATCTGCAACCGCTTTGAGGAAAGACGTCAACATTATAATGAAAACATGGAGAAGGTCATCAAGGCCCAGAGTGTTATCCGAGGCCGCATTCAAGGCCAGGCTTATAAGAGCCTGACAAGCGGAAAGAATCCACCTGTTGGAACAGTCAAGGGCTTCGTGCATCTTCTCAACGATAGCGATTTCGACTTTGACGAAGAGATCGAGTTCGAGCGCCTGCGAAAGGTGGTTGTTCAACAAGTGCGACAGA